GAATTTCGTGTGGTGTGAACAAAGAATTAATTTTATATTAAAAAAATCCCCGTAAACAAAAAGGATTTGTATTACATTTAAAAATAATCTATAAAGTTAAAAATTCGCTATAAAACGTTAGTTTGTATTAGCTAATGTTGGAATCTTTTTTTACTATTCGATTCGATCGTTATGGAAGTATCGCGAAATGTATTTCCTAAGTTTCATTTTTTAATTTCATTTTTTTTTTGAGTTCTTTCGCTTTGGTCCGCAGCAATAGGACAATTTTAATTTCACTTTTAAATTATAAATTATTAAACTTTTGGATCCTCTTTTGGCTTGGTAATACGCGGTATGTGTTTTTTAGTTTCTTTTTGATTGATCGGTCGCAGCGATCAAGTCGCTATTGTACTACAACCTCATAATTATCATCTCAAAGATGCAACTTGACGGACCCAACAAATTATTTTCTGCTACACTTCTATAATCATCTATTTCTCCAAAGCTTGCCGCCTTCATTAAAGTTTTCACCGTTTCTTCAAAAGAACATCTCATTAAGGCAGTCAATACACGTCTAAAGAGTTAAATAATGATAATTATCAAACTCTATCATACCATGTAATTCTGTAACATTATCTGCATTTAGTACTTCTTGTAAGTTCATGCCATCAGTTTCAAGTGTCCATTCATTTTCTTTTTGTATTATACCTGAATTATCAAGATACAAACTGAAAGGATCAGAAACAACAAAAATAAAAGCCATTAGTATTAGTTTATAATGCCATCACACATACCCAAAGACACTTGTCGCTTAATTTATAAAAGAGAAGTCAAGAAACCTAAATGAAATAAAAAAAATAAAAAGAAGGCGTTAGTGTCAGTTTTGTAACGCCATTACATACCAATCTGATCCGAAACTATGATCCCTAAAGAAATGTTAATTAAGTTCTCTGAGACCCTAAAGTGAAAAAAAGAAAAAAAAAGAACAAAATAGACAAACCATAGTTTGTTCGTTCTAAATTCTGGTCATTCGACTTCGTCCGTCATCTGAATTCACTAAATAAGAAAAGGAAACGTTATTAGTGTTTCCTAAAAGTAAAAAAGCAAAAAAAGAAAGAAAAAATGAAAAAAAATTAACTTACCCTTTAGAATGTTCAGGTAAAGTTGAAAATATCCGAAACCTAAAGATAGAAATAAGGTTAGTAAACAAAATGGAAAAACGGAACACAAAAAAAAAATGAAAAAAAAAATAACTTACCTCTTAAATCGTCTAGGTGAAGGTGAAAATATCCAGGCGGAACCTAACAAAAGAAATAAGAATAGAAAACGAAATGTAAATCAAAACAAAAAAATGATTATTCAGCAGTTGTTTCTTTAGAGGAAATTTATAACAATTAATCCAATTATTAAGCAGTTTATGCTGTAGCAATACTGAAGAAAAGGAAAATACTTCAATAATTACAAATTGTTAAACCCGAATTATTTCTTTAACCATTAAAAAGAAAGTGTATCTTTAAAAATAAATTAAAAATAAAATATTATATATTAACGATAAAAATTGAAATAGCCTTTAGTTTTTAAGAAAGATTTTTTTGGGAATAACTTTTTAAAAAGTAATTAAAAATAGAACAAAAGAGAGAGTTTAATAAAATACGTAAAAGCATTAACGATTGGTATTTAAGATAAGTAAATCACGTGATGAATTACTAAAGTATATTTTGTTACACTATACAGCTGTATAATAAAAGACATTGTGTATATAATATACATTAGTTAAATCATGTTTTCTATTATTATATCCTGTTTTCGACACTGATATACAAAATGGATATTTGGTTGATGATCTATCCATTTAACTGCATAAAATGAACTTATCAGCTCTTAATGCTTTAAACACTAATAATTTAATATTAGTCTCTCAGTCAAAGTTTTTTTAAAAATTGATCACAATAAATTTAACTTAGCGCTCAAAGTTTAATTTACTTAAAAAGAGTCGAAGTAGAACCGAAATGGAACCGATAGAACCGTCCCCATCTATAACCCCGTAGCAAAGGGGGGTGATTTCCAATTGGACTTTAAGTTTTGTAATAACCATATGTTTAATGTGCCAATCCTTTTTGGAAATATGTATTTTCATTTATAATGTATTAATAAAAATCTAAATGTTTTCGCAGTGATTGTCAAGATTGATCATGTGATTTAAGCTGATAATTTTCTTAAGGCACGTGATTTCCTATCCCCCAATATCTTTGCCATTCTGCAAAATGAAAAAATTCATTTTTAATGACATAAAAAATATTTATCATGAATCAAATCTTAAAACTTAACTAGTTCCTTCAACATACTTTCCACAAAAATTATAGCCAATTTATAATACATTTTCGGGTGATAATGGATAACAAACTGCACTAGGACATAATGTATCCGAGATATATTTAATTGATATTTTCATTAAAGGATAAGTTGTAAAATTGAATGATTAAGATTATATAAATTATAATAATTCAAAAACTCACTATTCTAATATTACTAGATTTTTCTAACGATAAAACTCTTCATGAGAAATTTCTCGTCACTACATTTTATTCAAGATACTTCTTAGAAGTATATTTGCATTCTTTCTTTATATTTGTATTTTTTTTTTAAAAAAATTCCTACGTTATTTTCCTTAACATGAATAATTGAGATCTAATAAATTGAATTTTTTATTATTAACTCATGATTTTATTATCACAAAATAATAATAATTTATTTGTCAAGTTTGCTAAATTTACTAGATTACGTATATGTAGGATAAATTTATACGATCATACATATTTGGACAAGTCCTCATATATTGTAAATATTTTAAATGAAGAGTCGTCGAAAAAAAAATTTATACTGAAATTCATAAAAGATTTTAGCACGATGTAAATGAAATAAATATTTTAATAGCAAATAGACGAATTCTTTTTTATTAGAAAGATGAATAAAAAAGATAATATTTTGCAATTACTACTTATGAAAAATTACTCTACTAATGTTGCAATTTCTTTTATCGCAATAAATTCTCTGAGTCGTGAATTTAAATTATAAAATTAAAAAAAAAGCAGCAGAATAAAAATAGAAAATATGAATGATTCTAAAGTTTGTCAGAATTGGGAGACTTCATAGAAATGAATTACATTATTATATATCAAAATCGATAGTTTTGGAAGTATAAACTATGTATTAAAAATAATTAATTACTTAATTTATCATAAAAAACGGAAATTTAATAGATTCTCACTATAAAAACAATGCTGCCTCTTACCTGTAATACTTTGCCTTCGAAATAGTCTTGTAAATTCCAAAGAGATTATTGAACCATTTGTATGTATAGCATTATTCAAATCGTTTTTTATAATAGTCCAATATCTGGTGTTATTATAATTTTATTTAGCGTTTTTTTTTCATTCAAAATAATTTTATCAATAAGTTCACAAATATCATAAGCTGTAGGTCTTTTATTCGGATCTGAGTCCCAACATTGTTGCATTAATTCAATGTAACCTACGGGTGCATTTGTAACAATCGGAGGGCGATCACCATCAATAATTCGAATCATAAGTTCTGTATCATAGACTTGATCCCAATAAGGTGCTCTACCAGTCATTAATTCCCACATGATCATACCAAAGCTATATATATCTGAAGCTTGAGTATTTTTAATATTTTTGACCTTGAAAAATCTCTGGAGCAATATAAGGTAAAATCCCGTAACACTCGTCATCGTTATCTGATGACTCAGTTAAATTACTAATTCCCAAATCATTTATTATAATATCATATTCATTTTCACAAAGAATATTTCCACTATGAAAATCTCGATGAATAATATTTTGATAATGAATATAATTAAGTCCGTTTATAATTTTCTTCAACTTGCTTAATTTTTTATTCCATTCAAGATCGTAAAAGGTTTCTACTATATAGTGTTTTAAATCATACTTGTAATATTTCGTAATTATAACAAAATCTTCTGTATCCGGATTTTGTGTGATTCCATAATATCTATTTAAATAAAATAAAGAACTGAAAAATCCTTCATTTAAATCAATAGCATAATTATAAAAAGCTAAATTTATAAAGTATTAATAATACACAGTATAATCCACATTAAAACTTACCTCATTTAATTCTTTATAAGTAATATTTTTAGAATTTTTAAGTTGCTTTAAAGAAACTGTCATATTAAAATCATTATACTCAAAATCTTCTTTTTCTTCATTCCAATAAGGCGGAACTTTATTCCAAATAGCTTTATAAACTTTACTAAATCCTCCTTCTCCAATTATTTCTATATTTTGAAATTGATTATAAGGAATAAATTTCATCCTGCTAGATTCTTGAATAAAATTAACTTGTGTATTTTTAATAAATTCATCAACAATTTCATTTCCACTTGGCTTAAATAATAATTCAGATTGATAACAAATAATACAAATTTTATCATTTTTTTTAAAGATCTTTTTTTAAAACAATTAAATTATAACACATATCATAAATTTAGTTTTCTGATTCAATTCAATCATAAATCCTTTAATTAATGAAATTTTATTAATAATATTATTTTCATAAGGATCCTGTAATAATCTTTTATTTTCTATTATTTTTTATACCAATAAAGAGTCTTTTCAATATTTTTTTCTATTTGACCATTTTTATAATATATAGCTAAATTAAACATTGCTTTAACTTCATGTTCAACATTATTATTTTTTACAGCTTTTTGATATAAATAAAAAGCTTTTCTAACTTTACATTTGTTTCTTTACCATTTTCATAGCATAAAGCTAGATTAAACATTACTTTAACATTTTTATTTTCAGCAGCTTTTTGATACCAATAAAATGCCTTTTCTAAATTTACATCTATTTCTTTACCATTTTTATAACAAAAAGCTAAATTATTCATTCCTTTATCATATCCATTTGCAGCAGCTTTTTGATACCAATAAAATTCTTTTTCTAAATCCACATCAGTTCCTTTGTCATAATAATAGTAATATAAATTACCAAATTCATATTGAATGCAAATATTTCCATTTTCTATCGCTTTTTGCATCCAACAAAATGCTAATTCGTTA